ACAATGTTGGGGAGGTGTCTGGTGGTTTAAAGTGCTAAACAAAATCAGATAGGACATAAAGATTAAAGCAGATACTGAAAGAGGTTTTAAAATAAAAAAACTGAACATGTTGTTTTCATAGATACACTAAACTGGATGACAGATATTTGAAGAGTTCAAAATATCTCTGTGATGTCATGGCATTAGCAGGAATGAACTACAGTATAGGGGATTAGAGAGAGGAGTTCATAAATTCAGATTGGCAACATGTAATTACCCAAATGCCAGTGACCTCAGGGTGGTTACTATTTTTAATGACTTACTCATGCAGTTATATCCCTTATTGTCAGGCCATATTTGCAAGTAAGTTAGTCTTTCTGATAATTGTTATGCAAGCTACATGCAAGCTTTTCATGAGGCAACTCCATCTGCTGTTGTGTCCCTTTCACTGAATACTACAAGCATCCAGGTGGGAATTTAATAATTTTCCAAAGGTATCTAAATCCAATTAAAAACAAACTTCTGTCTCTGAGTTCTGGAAACCCAGAGTAGTTAGAGAAAAGAGGGAAATGCTGTAACTGTGTTCTCATTAGAAGTGGATACTCAGTTGTGACTGAATGTTCATGTTTTATTCAAATACAGGGTGGTATTCAGAATTTTAGAAATATTGAGAGCACTGTTGTGAACATTTTTTCTCTTGCAGATTATTTTGACCATACTCTAAAAACAGGGTATGAATTTGATTTCTGCACATCTCCTTGTTCACCTGTTTAATTCTAATTTCACTTTTTAAAATGTTCTCCTCTATGCAGTCACTGTTAACCCCAACCCATCTGAAATGTCATCAAAATTTGTATGTAATGTTTACACATGTGCCCTGGATTGTCAAAATTACATAAAAACTTTATGTTCACTTGACACAAAAACTCATCCCTTGTGAGCTTGACATCATTTTTTTTATATTTAGTCAACAATTTTTGAGTTTTGAGTTAATTTGACCAAAACTTATAAGGCCGATTTCACCTAATTAGTGTAAGGCCATAAACAACACTATCTTTGTGCACCTAACATATTGTTGCTTGTTGGGGCTAAATAGGTGGAGTTTTCCAGCACATCATGAGACAATGTGTTTAAGGTCATAAGCCGAAGAAAACTGTGTTTAAATGTGTTCTAAATCACTCACATTACCCATTACACAGTGATTAATGTTCACATATTTTAAAATGGTTCTAATGGGTTATAGTTAATTAGTTAATGTTGTGGTAAAAGACACTGTGCACCATGAGTTAAGTCATATACACAGTGGATATTAGTGTCGAACATTAAGTTGTACTGAGGTGAAATGAAGAGCACTTTCTGGTTCAGAGTTTATCTCTTTGCCTTATTCTTGCATTGAGAATCCTAAGCTTGCCACAATATATTTTCATATTTCAAGGAATTTCAAGAAAAATTGTTGTAAATGTGTACTACTGTGTAATGTGTTTTTATGTTCATATGAGAGTTGAATGCTGAAACAACTACAAAAAAAATCCCTTGATTTCACATCTTTTTTTTGGTCCAAATGAGATCAAATTTAAACATACTAAGTCTAAAACACATTGGGACCCCCCTTTAATGAATCCACCATTGTATACCACTGTCAATAATAAAAATTTGACTGCAGATCAGGTCAATAAAACAATACATATTACCAGAAAAAAAACTGTGGACACAACCTCAGTATACAGGTCGCTGTAGCTATAGCCCTGTACATGTGTTTGTGATGTCATCTTCCTTGCTTGTGGAGCTGAGCTCAGAAGATTAGGGAAGTATTTGCTGGGTATGAACAAACAGTGTAGGAGGAATTGCTGTGTGCTGGATGGTGCATGGATGTCATTACATAAAAGTGACTGCAGTCTGACATGTTGCAGAAATTTGAATTGTACCCACTAACTTGACTCTTATTCAATATGCAGGTAATTGGGACTGTGCTCAGAGCTCATATAGAGTTTGCATTCAGTGACTAAAATTGTGCACCAATAATCTGGTGTCAATCTGGTTCAAGTAGTATTCCAACCAAACAGCAGGGATCACCTCATTAACACTATATTTATGAAATCACTCTGATTGGAAGTTCAGCATACAAGAAGAGAAACCGAAGTGAGTAAAGGAAACAACGAGCTTATGTCAAGAGGGAGTGACACCTGACCAAACTTGTTATATAAGGTAGGATTATTTTTCTTTTGCTATTGAGCTTTTTAGCAGAAATGCTTCTTGATGGTTTGTGTTATTGTTCACTGGTGCACAGTAAATATGCTCTGTTCTTTCAACATTAGATTGTGCTGTTAATGTGCTAACTGGCTAACTGGCATCAAGACGGTCTTCTGGTTTCCCTTTTTGGATGACTATTACAGGCTATTGCCATCTGCTGTTGTGGAGAGTTATTTCCACTAATGCAACTGAGGACCGTACATGCTGGTTGAAGTAACATGCAGCCTTTTGGCTGACACACAGCATGAGAGGAGATGCAGCAGGGGGCTTTTGTCGCCTTTAGTTCTCTGAAGTTGGTTTGATGTGTCTGGGCCTTAACCCCAACCTAAACCTTATTCTATCCTGAACCTGAAAATCAAGTCTTAATCCTCAACCAGGCCTTTATAGTAGTGAGTACCTGCCAAAATGTCCACACTCAGCTGGTAAAAAAAACATGTATTCGTCTTCACTATGTTGCAAGTACAAGTACAAGTACACACACACACACACACACACACACACACACACACACACACACACACACAGGTGTTTCCACTTTTGGTATGTACCTAATAAAACCTCTTCTCAGGATGTGTAGGTGTGTACAGACTGTGCTTGACTGACATGTCATTCTCCTGAGGGTGGAACAACATCTTAGTCAGTCTGTTTGAACAGTTTTGCTCAGATATTCCTACCATAGTTCCAACCACAATATCTGTGTGAGTGAATGGGGCTTGGGCTTCACTTGGCCTGTGAACTCTCATAATTCATTTCTTTTACAGTGAAATCGCCTGTGATCAAAATGCGATCACAGAGACAAACAAAAATCTCTTGCTTGAAAAGTTACAAAATTATCCATTGTGGCCCGCGAGAATATCGGTATAATTGGAATAATAATACAGCTAATTGGCCAATATGTTTATAGTATGTAACTGTTAGCTAAGTAGTTTATCTTGCAGTTATGGAAAGTTGTCACATGCAAATTTGTGAATCCTAAGATATTGACCGAATGGCCTGCATTGCTCTATCTTAACCTGCCTCTGACTGGCCTATCCTGACATTCTTACCCTAACCCTAATAAACCCCACTCCTCTTGCCTAAACCTGACCAATCAAACCAACAAAGGCAACTTGCACTAGCCAATCATTGGGAGAGTAGGGCAAGTCATTCCTCCGCTGTCCTAGGATTCGCAAATTTGCTTGCTGCACAGTGATTTGGTGTCACAGATTTTAATAATAACTAAATACCAGACCCCAAGATAGCAACTATTCATACCATTGGAATTGCTTGTCTGGCGCATACCAGGCCCCCAGGAAGTGCACCAGGCTTTGAAGCCAATTTTCATAGTGCCAAAACAGTGGTACTGTAATATCCAGGGTCCGTCACGTGATGCCATTGGGCCCAAAAAGACTTGCTCCCATATACTGACATTGAGAAAGAAATGTCTTAAAATCAGTGGATACTGTTTTGAGCATTGCAACCCAAGTCTAAAATATTCATCCCCATTCAAGTTGGCCGAGTGCTTAACTGGAAGTCCGCTGCTTGGCCAGCAGAAGTTGACCGCTCTGCCACGTTAAGCATGCCGTCTCTAGTGCGCCTGCTCTATGGGCCCAATGATGTGCAAGCAGCGATGATCATCTGGGTAATTTCACAAAGCGATTTTGGCTTTATGCACCACTGAGAAACATTCATAGAAATGAATGAAGCCCCGCCACCAATGCTGTATCCAGATTTATTAATACATCCATGGCGCACACGCCAAAAAAGTTTTCAAGCTTCCGGGTTTACTTCTGCGGTCTTTGGCTCACTGAATATGTGCAGTAGTGTTTCTCCCGCTGGCCCCACCTGCAAGTTCCCGCTTTGCCATTGTGATGACACAACAGATTTTTTAAATGCTTTTCTAGGCTCCAGTAAAGTTTTATAAATGTGAAACCTCCATGGATCAAAAATTTAGAATAGAACGATTTATAATTGAGCTTTTTTGCAGTTGGAGGTGTTCTGTCAACAGTTTTACAGACATCTCCATTACAATAGTGGTCTGGGGAAAATGCTTATTGGGCCACAGGGGATTTTTTTTATACTGTAGTATTGTCTCCTGGAGGCTTGTTTAGTGTTAGCTAGCTCAATGATTCAACAAAAATGTATCATTAATTGAATCATTAATGTTGTGTATTGTAGATTACATGAGAATTATGAATAGGCCAATTTATTTTTGCTAAGAGTATCTTGGATTAATGTTAATGGGTATTTTCAGGCACATTTTAATATTTAAAACAAAAACAAAAAAAAGCCTTAAATTAAAAATCAAATGAAATTATTGAGCAGTAATTTGGCAGCCCCCTGCAGTAACACTGAGGTCCCTGTTGTAGACCCCAGCCTTAAAGCTTAACTACATGAAACATGTTTGTAAATGGACTCTGACCAAAGTCACTGCCACTCTATGGAAACAAAGCAACCTTTTTAAGCTGAATAACATGATGAGGTAGTAAATGTAGTATCCATTATCTAACACCTGACTCTCAATAAAACCAACTCTCAAATAAATTCATGTAAACCAGGTGTGAAATTTTGCCGCTTTTCACCACAGAACTGTTGTTGTGATTCCTCAATATGATCATTGTTTCCGCGTAAACATCACCCTTGTTCACATTGAAAATATCCTCAGATGCAGCACTCCAGAAATTGATCTATTCATAGAACATGTTGTTTGCAATTACATAAACACTCGACCCTTCACTCAAGTGAGACAGCATAGAGGGACAAGGTAGAGAATAAAAGGAACAGAAGACAAGTGATGTTAAAATGAACATTTATAATGACTCTTTGTTGCCGTCGCAAAAATAATCTTTAAAAAACAATTCAATTATTAACACTGAAATGCTGACTTCACTGGTAGTCCACGAGTCATAAAACACAACTCACTGAATTTCTTTTACAAACACAGTACTACAGTTACATTAAATAGTCATTACCGTTAAATCTATTAATGAATAATGTTCAAATAAACTAATAATAAAAACAATGACACTTTTAAAATCCTCTCATTTCCTCACCATAGTAGCTGTTGTCTTTTTTATCAACAGTGTATCATATAGAAAATATACTGCTTCTGAGATGTTTCTCTGAAAAAAGCAGAAAACAGACTGGCAGCATAACAATAATGGTGCATGAGCTCAAACATCGTACAATTAGGGTGATGTTTTTCAAGGGGAGTGGAAATGGGACATAACCATTCCAGTGATCTAACATTAAGTTATGTAGGCTGGCTGCCTTTTGGCTCAGTATGGAATTATTTGGCACTCTTGCTGACAAATATTTGCCATAAAAAGCTTTCACACTTTTTCTAAAATGGCACAAGAAGACATTTTCCTCTCATTTCTGAATATATTCAGAGGACTTTTTCATTTTACAAGACATATAAATGCTGTCCTAGAAAGCCCTTTAGGTAGTTAACACTGTGGACTTTCATAGATTCTCTTTATCACGAACGAAAGACAGAACCATTGTCATTAATATCAAAGAGAAATGTACCCAATCAACAAAACATCACCTTTCTTAGGTTGGAATATTTGATCTTATGCTGTCAGTCCATTTTTTTCTGAGATGGAAAGAACAGAGGTTAAACAAAGTCAAACCAAACCCAGAAAGAAAGTTTATAATGACATGAAAATGATTGCAAGGTACTGGCATGCTTTCTTCAGTTTACACCTAAGCAAGCATTCAACCCTGCAGAATAGTCCAGATAACCAGAAAACAAAAGAACAGTCTCGCAGAGTTTGACAGATAAAGTGGTGTAAAATATCCAACACATACATGAGTTCTTGGGGATGGAGAAGGTCAACTAAGTTCATGGGAGGTTCAGAGGGTCAAAGACAAAAATGGCCTCATGTCAGGTTGGCAAGAATCCTGTATTTTCTCAGACGAAAGGGCTCAGAAATACCTTAATCCGTTTAAAGGGCGGACACAGTAGCAGATGCTCATTGTGATGGAACACAAATCGTGATGTCATGTAGGCTGAGAGAGTGACACTCAGGGAGAAGAGGTTTAAAGAGAGGAGCAAGCAGTCTTAGCCAGTTTGTAGTGTTTAAAATCAGTCCTAGCCTTCTTGTGAAAGGGCTCCGTGGGGGCGGATGAACGTCCAGGACACATTTGGAGTGAAATTAAAAACAAACATAACTTTTGGAATGATACCATAATTCGTTTGGCATTCAGATGTGAAGCAGTAAATGCAACGACAGGGGTCTGTGACAAAATAAGGAGAGAAATATCACTCTTTTAACTAGGCCTTTACTACTCAAAGTCTAATAGGTTTCCTCTGTGATTATTATCATGTTGAGGTGGCAGAGGCAATCTTCATTTTGCTGGTGCCGATTATGTCTCTCAGATCTGACTGTTATATCAGCCAGACTTTGAGCTTGCATCCCTCAGTACCTTCAGCCCAGTGTTTCAATTCTAATTTGCTGGAGAAATGAAAACCGATTTTAAATTGTAATTTAAAGCAAAAGAGGATGCAAAAGGACAAAAGTGTACAGATCCCTCCTGGTCCAGTGATTGACATAAACCTCTGCTGAAGGGAATGTGAAGGAGAGGCCTTCCAGTGAGGAAAGAGGTGCTACTTTTCTATTTTGTCTGAGACTCCAGCCCTTTCCATCATTCATGAGACCCAACAGGATCAGGGAATAAATAAATAAAAGTAACATCAGAGCAACAAAGAATAGCAAATAAAAAATTTGAAATGAACTGTTGAAACTTCATTTCACACCCAATATGACCCACTGATCAGTAAAGTGCATTTATGCAACACCAAACAAACAAGATAATGTTGACAGCGAATCGGAAGTTGTGTTAAAACATAATGTGGTTCATGACTATGGCCGTGTGAGGCCTACCTGACTATAGCTGAAATCTGTTATTGACATAGATATTAACTCTACATGTATTTGACATTCCTGCCCTGAATTTACATTAAAGACTGATAACATTCGACAGAAATTTAAAAAAAGAGTAAATGGGTACATTCATAGATTAGATCTGGGCTTTCAAGCTGAGACGTAAAAAAAATAAATCTAAAAACATCATGGGACAGGTTATATGAGGTTCAACCTGTTTGTAAAAGAAATGCATGTCAGATATCCTAACAAAGCAAAACACAAGGAGCCAATGCACTGAATAACATTTTCACGTTTGCTTGTTTCACATTTTTAATACTCCTCACTGTACCTAAAACTCAAAATAGCTTCTATGATGATGCGTAGAGACATGAACTTGATTAATGAGAATTTGATCTGAGGTTTGTGTGTGTGTGTGTGTGTGTGTGTGTGTGTGTGTGTGTGTGTGTGTGTTTTTTTCGGGCCAACATGACAATAATGAGCTCCCTCCTAACTCACAACATAAAAAAACAACTTTTTCAACATGAGGCGAGTAAACTTAAGTGCTTTACATTTGACTGCATGCAGCGTTATGTCTTTGAATGTTGCGAGACACCTCGCAAATTTTTGTAATTTTTTTTCCTCCATAATTTACTTTGATACCATGCAATAGAAGACGTGCAAAAAGATAACACCTAACTCCACAAACACATTTTTGATTGTTAATGGTATGTTATGAATGCTTATAACATGTTATGCTTAGTCCATGCTGGCCTATAGAGACATTTGTGAGACAGCAGTACTTAAGCCACAGGTCAAACAAACACACAAGGGATGCATGGAGTGTAAAACAACATGGATCCATAAAAATCACAATCTTTAACTCTTACTCTATGTACCTATGGGATAAAACAATGCACAAAAAGTTCTTTGTCCTTTGTTTTCTTAAGTAATGTATTTGATTATCTTTTCTTAACTTAAAAGACAGTGTTTGATTGGCACTTGATCAGCACTTCTAAACAAGTTATTGATATCTAACATTTGATCGCACATCTACAATTTCAGAAGCTGCGGAGGTCTAGTTTGGCACAGGTTGTACTATGGAGTCTATTATTACTTTTACTATCTTACCAATACTGTATAGTATTCTATACACCTCGTTTTATGCTCCAGCCTTTTAGAGCATGTTTCTAATCAACAGACCAGACATCTTTTCAACTAAAATATTTTGTATAGTTTACTTATCAAATAGCAGCATTTTCATAACTTACAAAAAGTACATGTAAACCTATTCATTCAAAATCTTAGTAATTTCAAAGGTTCATACAACAGACATAAAACACAAAACAGGACAACATGCTACTATATTGCTTCCAATATTCTTTACATTTTCTTACTGTCAAACTAAATCATCAATGACAGAAATATGGACACCACCGGCTGATGATGAGTCATCATAATGCACAAACAAATCGCGAAGCTAATCTTAATCAGGCTTAGTTGGCACTCTCATCATCCACACAAATATAACATAGTTCACATTGTATCGACAACGCTGGACTGCATTTGGACTACAAACTAGAATAGCTACAATAAAGTACATATAGATCATATGACATGACATATTGTATTCCACAGAAATGAATTCTAGTCATTTTCAGATAAGAGGATATGCATAAAGGATGTCATTGTTTCGGCTTGAGGTCACAAACAAGTTCCCACCTTACTCACTATCTTATGCATTCTGTCCTACCTATACTTTGTTTACAAGCTGAAACTTGAGCTCAGTTTGTTCAGCTGACGTATGAATATCTATTCAACCAAGATCTGCCTTCTTTTGGAAGAAAAAAACAACACTTTCTCTTCCCTTAAAAGGCCATAGTTCACGGTCGAAACTTTTCTAAATCCTGCTGTTTCTTCTTATAGAGGGAATTTGATACTTTGAGCTAACGTTGCTGGTTGGTCTTGTGGGTGTCACAGTTTTGGAGGCAGGTGTTTTCTGTGCATTTTAGCCTTGTGAGCTCTACGGCCTGGGAAAATATTTTCATACCCTTATGACCTATAGTGCATAACTCCCACCACCAGCACACCCAACACACAACCCATGAGAAGACAAGACAGGAGGAAGGAGAAAGAGGGGGAGAGCACAGTGTAGGAAGAAGCACATACAGGGATTAGGACACAGGAGGAATCTCAGAATGGTGAGAAACAGCAACATGCAGGGGAATCAAATGTTGAGAGAAAGAGGAAAGTTAATGAGGGGCAGAGAGAAATAGTAGCCTATTTGGCACAATGTAATGATCAGAGAGCTCTCTGCAGTCAAGCAGTCCAGTTGCATTGATAAAACATCCCCTTGTTTTGTGCTTGTATCTTATTATTTATTATATGCTAAAATCTTGGGCAGTAAAAAGTTATCTTTATGTTATGATTTTATTAGTGGCCAGATTGTAGTTATGGATGACTGTGAAGCCCTCCAGACACGTAGTGAAAGGAGAGATTTCAGTTAGGAAGAAAGGCTCACTGTTGCAATTTCCACACATAATGTTCAGACACAAAGAGTTGTTTAAAACACTTTCATATCCATTTACTTTCAAACATGAATTATGAAAATGAAAAGGCTGTTCATTGTATTTCCCCTCAAAAACGGGAGTGGTTCTGATTTTCTTGGACACTACTCAGCACCAACCCTCACAGCCGTGTATTCAGGAAGCTGATCATAGAGCTTGGGTTGATGGGGACAACTGAAAGATGTCTTTAGAGTGGGGACGTGGACGAAATAGGACTGGAGAATACAGTGCAGGAAAGTGCAATGGGAATAATTTGTGGTTGGCTAATCAGAAAACGCTTGTTAATTTAAGTGCAGTGCAATGGTACTGGTAAACAGAAACATCACAAGACGCTGGAGTATAAATGTTCTTGTGGATATATCCCTTTTGTCAGTATTGGTATGTCTTGTTTATGTGACATAGATGTTCACATTAAAATATACTCACATCCCAGCAGGGACAGACATGCTTTACATTGTGTTCTTTATGTCTCACAGTGCAGTCTTCAGAGACCCAGTGTACGCAGGATGAACACCATGGATAGCAGCACAGAAGGAAGCCAAGGTAATCTTCAAGTGCTTGGAAATGCTCTAGACAATTAGCCTCCCTGCATTAGACAAACAATTGCCCATAAAAGACAATGATGCCAAAACGTTTCATGATGTTTATTATGTGCTCCACCCGCAGTTAGTGAGCGTTAACGTGTTTTGGGAACGATAACAGGCTGCCTGGATGAACTGAAGTATCGTTTGTTTTTTGTCTTGATGCAAATTGGGAAGGATGGCTCACAGAAAAAAGAGAGTCCAAACCTTCTTTTCAAGTGTTTTTATTCTACTTCCCTTTCATTGGTGTGTGTCTCTTGACTATTTGGTACCCTTAATGTAAAGGCAATAGTTTCTTTGTTCACAGATATTGGTTCATACAGCTTTTCTTATCAAAATGCTTTTGTAGTGCTTTGTTCCCTTTGCCAACTGAACTGGTTAGACATTGCTTTAAGGTAGTCTGAGCTTTAAGTTAATTCTTGGGAGTTACAAAGGTGTGACTAAGGCAAACATAATGTCAGGTAATATCTCGAGTATGGCCAATTTTTAGTAAAAAACAAACAAACAAACAAAAAAAACAAAAGACCAGCTTTGGGAGCGAGGATGGACTTGGAATATTAAGACTGGATTGTTTTCCATCATGAAAGGCTGAAATCAATCCTTTTTCATTAGGTGAGAGGCTGGGGCAGATCCAATGGGCTACTAATGGCTGGACGACATATCAGCTTTTTTTAGATCAAGACAACAGTCGCCAGAGAGATTCTGATTTCATGGTAAAGATACAGTATAAACCTAGTCCTATAGCACCAAGAAAGGGTTAAACGACATATTTCTGTGTTTGTAGCTGTGACTGAATATGCAAATATATTTCAGTGTTTGTGGGAGCATTATATGTGTGTTCATGTAAAATATATTCATACATTCCTGTGTGTCTCCTCTATCCTCTCACATTGATTATTTAACCCCTGAACTATACTTGCAGACAGCAACAGTGAAGTTCAGACTGGGCTTGAGTTATACATTTCTTTCACTGCAACACAATATTTGATCCCTGTAAATAAAAAATAGCAATAGGCTAATATTGTTTTTACATTCAGATCAACCTGCATTCACAGGTTTAAATAATCTATTTGTGTTTAAATGAGACCATGTCAATAAATAAAGGATGAAAAGATAAAATACCCAAATTTAGAAACTTCAATTATGATATGAGCCAGAATTCAACATATATCAACATAGATATGATTTCCTTAAAGAAATTATACTCAGATTGCTTCCCCATAGACTGAGATGACCAGGTGCTTGTCATAAAACCTCTCCCCTGTTAACAATGCCTTCTGCATTATATACAAAGAGCAAGGTTTGTAAAACAGCTCTATCAGCTGGCTGGAACTTCATCTGACACACTCAACTCACCGGGAGCTGAGGTTTGCAACTGAAATTAAAACCAACAAAACCCAACAGAAAAAAAGGAAAACAGCTATGAGGTTTTGGAGGAGGGTGAAACCCTGTGGCCTCACCCTTGAATCTGCAGCTTGGCAGTGGACCAGTTCAGCTTACTCTGATCACCATCGTCAAAAGGACTCGACACAAACTTTTAAAAAACATCAGGACGTCAGCCCTAAAAACACATTCACATATCACACACACTTATCTTGGTTGTCTCCCCCACCTCCTCCTTTGTGATTCTTTCATTTGATACTGAAATATTGAACAGATATTTGGACGTTTCTTTTTTTCTATTCATCGTGACCCTCACAATTCCCTTCTATCTCTGTCTTCATCCTTTCCTTCTTTCCTCTTCTTTTTCCTTTTAGCCCACCTTTTGTGGGTTGGTAGCACGCACGCCCTGCTCGTAAGTGATCCGCTGGCTGATCAGATACTGTGCTGCTTGCGTAGCGGCTGGCGACCCTGTTATGGTAACTTTACGGTTCCGAGTACCAGGAATGAACTCTCCCTTTTTGGAGATCTGGATGCGGGCTCCTGTTAGCTCCTGGTACTCTACCAGCGTTTTCCCTCCTTTCCCCAATATGGCACCAACCAGATTCTCGGGCACAGCAATCTCAACAACGTCCTTGGCCCCATCTGCAAGCTTCTCTGTCGCCAATAGGGAAGAGGCCATCAGAGGGGATGAAGCATTTAGGTAACCATTGGAAGCCCCTGTAGCAGCAGCTAGAGAACCCAGCGAGAACCCCCCAAGGCCTGTAGCAGGGTGGCCAGCACTGCCGGAGGCATCACTAGCATAGGAGGCCAGTAGGTTAGCTGCAGCAGCAGCAGCTGGGTTAGCACTAGCTGCTACAGCAGCAAGGACCCCAGAAGCAGCTGCAGGGTTGAGGCCCAGACCTAGGGTGTTAGTGTTGTAGCCATAGCTAGCAAGCGTGTTGAGGGCTGAGGTGATGGCCAGTAGATCATTGCCAGAGAAACTGGACATGGCGGCAGGGAAGGCGCCCATTCCTGTCAAGCCAGCCTGGCCTAGAAGGCTGGAGGCAGTGGCAGCTGCTGCGGCTGCATTGGGCAGCACCTCGGCTGTATTAGCGTAGGGGGAGCCAGTGGGGTTGGAGTTGGCCACTGGCCCCGAGACGTTGGAATAGCTGATGTTGAGGCAGCTGCTGCTCTGAGGGTCCTCCTGGATCTTCTGTACTATGATCTCCACAGCCTTACGGTTCTGTTCAGGCTCCCCACTGATGGTAACTACCCGCTCCTGCAGGTTGATGCCCTCTGGCTTCTGGGAGAGCTGCACCCAAGCCCCTGACTGCTCCATTACGGCTTTCACTGTGGCTCCGCCCTTGCCAATAATCAGCCCAGCTGTGCTATTGGGCACGATCAATTTGGCCTGTAGAGATATACAAAAATTGAAGAAGCAATACATAATAACAAGGAAAAGATTCAACAGCAGACATGATTTACAGAAGGAGGGATATCTCTCACTGAGTCAGAGTACTATACCAGCCCCCACTTTACTCAGCAATTTGTTAATCCCAGGGGTTTAGGCTGCAGCTGCCACCCGGCTCTGTCTAGCTATGAAAGACTGTAGGTAAAAATAACCACATACCCTCACATTTTCCTGACCCTACCAGACTGGGTCATGGCCCAGAGAACAAGTCAGACTGGTGACTAATAAACAAGGTGTCCTGGAAGTGAACTGTTCCCCCCACATAGTGATCACACATCCTCATGACCTTACTGACTGTAAAGTGTCTCACCTGTTTGACACGGTCGGGGTTGACAGTGGTCTGTGGCTGCAATATGCTGACTGGTTCGGGTTTCTGGGCGCTCTGGGGCATCTCGCGGACTTTCTCCGCTATGAAGTTGTGGACACCATTGAGGGCTTCGACTGTACCCTGTATCAGACAGACACGTTCTGTTGTTCCTGTGATGAGAAAGGAGGAAGAGGACAAAAACCTGTGATCGGTTACTGTAATGTGCTCTGAGAGGGTTCTTGGCAAACAGATTTGAGGGATTTGCTGAGGGTTGGACAATCTACATTTATATTAAGATGTCTTGGCAATGAAAAATGTTTCTTGACATTTCACAAAGGGACCCAATTACCAAGCTATTCCTCGCTTCCTCCATTTACACAATCAACAGAGAAACAGCTGAAAGAAAGAGCCGTGCTTGGTTAGCAAGCCACAGGGGGGGAGAAGGATTCCTCTTCAATGATGTAACTCTTTCAGGGTTGTAATACGGAGCCCGTCCTTGCTTTGCAGCTCTAATAGACTAAACACACGCTTGTTCCTCCTCTAGGCTCCTTTCTACACCCACATTGACGACCCAACTGGCATTCCGTTGCCATGGTAAAGGGGCCGAGCCGTGGAAACAGGTGATGCAACAGCGAGTCCTTTATACTTGCTTGCATGATTTTTAAAACACTCTCCCTTTTGTATCAGCCTTCCTGCCTTGCTCTCTTAAACATTTTACTGCTTGTTGGTTGAAATGAAGAGGAAATGTCTCTCAATTTTCTTAGATGACTTAACAGATGGCATAAATCTCAATAAGGCAAACATTTCAGTCAGAGGAAAGTATCACATTTTCTCCATTAATTGGAAAAAAAATGTAACTGGGAGGACTAACTGATATGGTGATCCTGTGTCTAAGAGGCACCACTCTACCTCATCATTGACATTTCCATTTCTAATTCAGCTGACTAACAAATTATATTACTGGCCGACACACAAATCCTAGCCATTTATCAGAACTCAGGAAATGCTACAATTAATCCAGGGAAATTAGTCAAAGTCAGACCTGATTGGCTTCATGTCATAAACATGACTAATAATAGATCTGAAAAACCAATAGGTCAGTTCAGGCATAGCAGGAAAAGCAGTAGTAATCTCCAATTGGGTAAAATGGGGGAACGGGCACTTGACCTGTAACTGACCTTAGGGAGCGATCACACCGAGATGAAACGCTAGAAATGCGACACCAGTAAAGCCATTGTTTTCCTATGATACGGTGCGTCTGACCGGCATTCAAGCGTCTTTTTAGACGGCCGTTTTTGCGGCGTCTTTTTAGACGCGCGTTTTTGTAGATGCGCGTAGATGCTGGAAGGTTAAAATATTTTCAACTTTTTGAGCGTCAGACGTCAGTAGCTAGCGCGCATTGAATAAGCGCTTCGAGCATTTCAAGCGTCTTTGAAGGGTCCACGTCACTAGCGTCTCATTTCTGTGTGATCACCCCCTTACTGCCATAGTTTCCTTGATAATAGACATAACCAAGAAGAACATTAAACCCTATCCTAATTTAAATTGACCAAAATAAACCAAAATGGAAATCCTGCTGAAAAACAAACAACAGCAGGCTATAAATGAAATGTTTTACAGTTTTGAACAGAAGTACAGTTTGCGCTTCTTGCTGTGCTGCACCTGCCTGTCATTCCTGAAGTGACAAAGTGACAGCCTAAAGCCTAAAGCCTTTAGATTTTTATGGTGACTTTATCTATTCCAGATGCTGCCTTTTGAAATCTCCAAAAAACTAAAAACACTACAATAAACTGAATGGGGGCTGGGACTTCCAGACTTCAGGTATTACTTCTGGGCCCCACAACTGAGACCTCAAGTATCATGGATTAAGGATTTTTTTATATAAATGATGGTCTGATACAGTACGATATCATACGATACATACGATAGAATACAATACGATATGATATATGATAGGATATTTGATATTAATTTTGAACATGTAAGAAAACATAAACATACAATCAAGCAGACAGAAAGGAAGTAATATTTACAAATAATGAAACTGTCAATGTATAGTTACTTTGATTTATACATCCAAAAGGGAATGGGAGTCAGTATTAACTTATTAAATCCCACCCCTTCTCCATAAAGTCATTGAGTGAAATGAAACAGACAGCTTCCTTATGCTGATAAACGTATACCTTAGACTTTTCTAAATATGCAGTGTTTATTACCATTTAACTTTGTCACACAAAAATGACCAATGTAAATATATAACATTAATTACCAAATATCTATCTTACGAAACATAAACCTGTCTTAGTATATAAGAAAAATTACAATTAGCCATGACTTACAAATATAAACCAGTCTAAATGTACGATGTATATATTACCAATTATATTTGCCTTACAAAAATAAATATTAATATCCGTGTATATCTTAATCAACTTCACCTGCTAGCTTTATATATTTAAATACATGAATATATACAATCTAAACATACATAATTCTTCAGTGTATACATATGTGTACACCCACATACCCATATGATAATATTTGATAATTGTTTGACTGGTTTGATAATGAAAGGGGCCTCTGTCTAATGCCCCTTAAGGCACAACCCTTCTTGGATGTTTCCCTAAAATATACTGAAATGGGGGAATTGACTAGAGTAACCCTAAAAATCTGGAGAGCTAACTTCACAAATCTTATCAGTGGCCATTGTGGGTTATCTTGGGGATTTTACACCAGCACAAATAGATGCAGGCTTTAAAAAGTGGTCTGAATATGGAAAGAGATATTTGCATGAAATTCTTTACAATGGGGGGGCTTAGGTCATTTGAACACGTAAGACAAGAGTTCACATTCCTAAGATATTCACAATTGAGACATTTTCTTACAACACATAAGGAATGGGAAAATGTGATAAAGCCTACTCCAACAGAAAGGTACAGCACTGAAACAGTGTCTGTATAAACAGTACAGTCGACAGGACGGGATCATGGGTGGGACAGAGGACATTTTGATAACGTGTTATGAGTGTGGCTGACCAGGGAGATTTAAAAAGCAGTAAGTAGGAGTTGGTGGCTAACTCAAAGAAGAACAGCAGCTGAAAATGTACTCAACTTGTGAAAACAATGAGATTCAGGAGCTTCAGGAGGATGAGATCAGCTGCCATATAACAGAGATGATAAATGATTGTTACTGCCATGTTATGCAGTTGTTGGATGGATAAAACAAACTCCAGACTTTCACCCAGGAGCCCAGTGTTTGTGTCCCATATGAAAACAAAAGTCAATTGAGATATTTGAATAACAGGGTTGTGTGCTAGTATGTCAATCAATCAATCAATTTTATCTATAAAGCCCAATATCACAAATCACAATTTGCCTCACAGGGCTTTACAGCACACGACATCCCTCTGTCCTTAGGACCCTTACAACGGATAAGGAAAAACTCCCCAAAAAAACCCTTTAACGGTGGAAAAAATGGTAGAAACCTCAGGAAGAGCAACTGAGGAGGGATCCCTCTTCCAGGATGGACAGACGTGCAATAGATTACGTACAGAACAGATCAACATAATAGAGAGATGCAGGACAGACGGTAATGACAGTAGCTTACAACAACATTAATGAAGGTAATGCTATGATAATTATAATTACAGCTATTGTGGTACAATATGTTGAAAGTATATATATTAATATATGATAGTATACATATGTGACAATAATCATATGTGTATAATAACAGTAGAAGTATGACTAATGATAACAACAGCAGCAGGAGGCATCAGGCAGGACCACCACAGCAGCACAACCACACACGTCACACTGTCCAGGCACCGCTGCGATATGAGTTATCCTGCCAGACAGTGGAGCACAAAGGCTCCGGAAAAGAAGACGAGTTAGTGACATGCAGTACGGCTGAGTTAGCGAGATGCAGGAACAGGACATGAGTGTTAGCAAAGGAGAGAGAGAGAGAGAGAGAGAGAGAGAGAGAGAAGGAGAGAAGGTGTTTGGTGTATTATGGGGGTCCTCTGGCAGACTAGGCTTAAGTCAGCCTAACTAGGGGCTGGTACAAGGCAAGCCTGAGCCGGCCCTAACTATAAGCTTTATCAAAGAGGAAAGTCTTAAGTCTAGTCTTAAATGTGGAGACGGTGTCTGCCTCCTGGACCGCAACAGGAAGATGATTCCACAGGAGAGGAGCCTGATAGCTGAAGGCTCTGGCTCCTGATCTACTTTTGGTAACTTTAGGGACCACGGGTAACCCTGCATTCTCAGAGCACAGTGTTCTGGTGGGATATTATGGCACTATGAGCATACTATGCTAGTAACATATTTCATGTGACATATGTCATATGTTACAATACGTTGGTGAGAAACATACTTATTTTAAGTCAAACCATGATGTTTTCTTCTCAACCTAACCATATGTTTTTGTTGTCTGCCCCTAAGGAAATAAACCTAAAAACAAAGTGTTTTGCCTACGTTCTAAGTTTATTTTGGTAAGAGACTGTATGCAGAAACTATACATTTCCTGTGAAAATGGAAGTTCATTTTGAAAAGACACAATGCATGTAACCAGTGTAAACTGGCATGCCATCCCTGTGTGTCAGTTTAAACATGAATCAGACGGCGTTATTTCCCATTGTTTCTACTAATGGTGTCTATGCTGGCGAAATGGTAAAAGGATATCATATCTTGTGTATGCATATAAAGCCAGGATGAATGAACAGGCACAAAATATAAAATATGAAGAGGTTGGAACTAATATGTGTGCAAAATCTAATTACACTGGAGGTGGACATAAAAAAACTGGGGCTTGCAGACAGTGATTTTACCCTCATGTGACTTATTGGAACTTACTTGGCCCTAACCCAATGCAACAAATTATCTGTTGTCTTTAGTGACGCAACACATCCTTAGAAGACATATTGCCTTGAGCGATCATTGCTTTTTCACTTTTTCTGAATTCATCACTGGTTGATTAGGTCCTTCTTCGCTTGGTACAGCAACCTCTAGTTAAAGATCTCTGCATCTAGAAAGGTCTTGACAGTGCTGCTTCCAGATCACTTTATCCTAAGGCAGAAACCATGACATGATTACAACGTTTATCTCAGATGAGACACCATAAAGGGTACATGAAAGTATCCAAATGTTACATTTTTATTCTCAACACTTTTTAC